GGGGGCGGGGAGGGCGAGGAGCCACCGGCCTCGGCGGCGGGCTCGGGCCAAGGGGCTGCCGCTGCTGCTGGAGGGACTCGGTCCACGCCGGGCCGGGCAGCGGAACGCTTTACTCATCCCCCTTCGCCTCCCCTGCCCCAAGGAACGTGTCATTTTTAGACAATTGCATCACGCGCGCCGCAGCGGGGCACGGCCACGGGCGCCTCATCCAGCAGCCGCCGGGCAGAGCGCGGGTCTAGCAGCACCGCGGGGCGCGGGGTTCCCCCCAGGCACCCGAGTGTTAGGCCGGGTAAGAGCAGCACCCCCGGCTCGCCCTGCTGGAGACAGAGCACAAAATCCCTCGGAGGAGAGATCAGACTGTGGCCCCCGCTGGGCTCCCCTCCTTCACCACGAGAAGCTTCCCCCAGGGAGAGATGTAAAATCACTTTTCTATAAAAGCATAGTTTAATTTGGGGGAGAAAAAAAAAGTAATGGTCACATAAAGTTTGCTCCTAACTTTCCTTAATAGAGTGAAGTTTCCTTTTCCTCCTACTTTCAACTAAAGGCAGGGCAATTTTTTTCTGCAGGCAGCTGAATTCACTCAGCAAATGATTGGGGAGTTAGCAGTAGTTATCCTGATTCTACAGCTGTGACAAAAATGTTGATATCACTATTTTATGACTGAAGTATTCCAGGGGAAGGTGAATGAATTAAAATTTAGACCATAATTAATCACAATCCATATGTTCTGGCATTTCGAGCATGTTGAGAATCCTTCCTTTTGCCTTCGAAAGATGAGGCCTGAACTGCAGCAAGTACTGCATCACCCAAGACGTATAGCCAGCATTCAACTTTTTGTAGCTCAAACATCAAGCAAGGCAAATTTCTAGCATGAACACTTAAAAAGCTGCTGTTTTTATAGAATATAGCCTGCATTAACAGGCACACTGTCTCCTTTAAAACAAAAGAACAACCGTTTAGACCATTCACTTAGCTCATCTTTCAGTAAGCACCATGTCACGTAATTACCAAACCAAGTCTTCAAAGATATAAAAGCATGTGATTTTTGTAGTAATTGTCCACTTCTAAACATTTTCTGGCATGTCGATGTTTCAAAAAAAAAAAAAAAGTTCTGATTTCACTTCAAGATGAAGAGGTAAAACCAGAGTGAAGCAGCCAGAAATCAAAATCACAGTTGTAAGAAACCTAAACTGACAAAACAGTGATCTTACTTTAAAAAGTGGCATAGTCACTGATGGAAAAGTAATCGCTAGTGCAATTTTTCCTTCTTTCTTTTCATATTTTTTTTCCTGTTCAGCATTGTATAGGGAACACGCTAATGATTTCTTTATGATCCACTTCCGAAGAGCCAGAATCCATCCCCGCTACAGAGACTTCCCTGAAATGTCTCCTGGACCACTTTCAAAAACAATTCACTCAAAAAGTTTTCAACAAGTTCTCTAACACTATAAGCTCTGTTTAAACGATTATGTTTCTAAAGCTACTCCTCATCAACAAGATTAAGGTTTAGTTTACTAAACCAGAGTTGTCTGATTTTTTGAGCCTTTCTAAAAAATGGCTGTAGTCACATTTGAGAAATGACCCACAATAGTCAAACCTAGTCCAAAACCAGGGAAAAAACAGAAACTTATTCCTATTTTTCTATAAAAGCCTTGCTAGTTTAGTTACTTTAGATAACTGTACCAATTATTTTACTTAATGATACTTTCTAGACCATCTTTCTAGTATTGGCACAAATATGAAAAAGAGCAGTAGGGAATTTAAATAAATGTATTTAGTACACTGTTACCAAAAATGTTTACGTGTAGTCTAGAAAATATGTACCTGCAGGGGAAAGGGGGGCAAGAGAGGAGAGGAAGAGACACCTATGGCTTATGTTGCTATAGCTACAAGATGCTTAGATTCCCAGTTTCAGTGAATGAATCAATAGAAACCACAGCTTCACTCTCCTCTTTTATTCACCACAGGCAAAACGGGAAGATGGGTTGCTAAGCAACACCACACTAAAGACTGCAGCTCTTTGAAATTAGCATTACTGACTCCCCTCCATCCCAGGAGTCTCTTCTATTCGAACCCATTTATTAAGGAAAGAGCTTAAAAAAAAAAAAAAAAAAAAGCACAGCTACCAGGACACGCATTTTTAAAATAAGAAACTGTAAAAGCTGAAGGAAAGCTGAAATTAACACTCTCAATTAGTTGGAGTAAAGAGAAATTAAAAGAAGCCATCACTTCTACTGAGAAAGTAAACAAAGATTTAGTAAGGAGAGAAAAACTTTAAATTGGATTACATAAACCCAACGGCAAACAGAAAGGCTCTTTACTTCTTCTGGGAATACTATATTAAAGCAAAATTTTCTCCAAAGAAATATTTATAGACACCCTCTTTTTTTTTAAATCCAAAGATGTACCCATTTGCACTCTTCTTTTGAAGACCTCATCCATAAAAAGACACTAATGGCTAGACATGCTCAAGATGGCTAATAGGGAATTAAAAAAATCTTTTGTCTGCATTGTATAAGAATAAAGCTCTTCACCAAAACTTAGTCACAAAAAGCTCAAAGTCTCAATTTTATCTGTCAACCAACTTCTGTATCTTATCATTGTCATGACCTAATCTGTTACCTATCTTATGAAAGAGTAACATCCATCTTATGCTCATGATAAAAACAAAATAAAGTAGATGTAGATGCAGAGTAGTCTTGCCTGCTTTGAAAGCATCTTGAATGTATTGATGTAAACCCACTTATTTTTAGTCTAAACTTCAGCTACATGTTATTCCAATGCTATTGAGGAAGCAAAACCACACTGATCCTGTATGAATAGGGCTGTGTACAAAGAAATGCTGTTTTACTGGAAGCTGCCTTGAGAAAGCCTATACACTTATTCTTTTAGCAGTGGGAATAAAACCAAAGCAGCATAGTTTAAGAATTCATAGTCTGCTGATTGCCACAGCCCAGCTCCCTTACAGTTTCCCCCAGCCTCCGCATTTTTCCAGATCCTTCCATGTTCCTCATTCCACTCCCATAGCATTTTTTCACCGATCTCCTAAATCACCTTCCTCATAGCTCCACCACGCTGCACAACTTGCAGGCAAAAAACCAGGAGCCTGTACTGCGTCTGGCACAGTTTTGTACAGACAAACTGATTGCCAGTGCTCAAACAGAAGGGATGAGGCTACAGCATAAGTTTCAAGGTTCCATAGGGAAGGAGAGGCTGTTTATTTGGGTCTTTTCTCAATTCTAATATTCACACAAATCTTGTAGAAGAGTTAAAGTCCTGAGACATCTCTACTCATTTTAGTTCAGCTGCCCAGCAGCTTGAAGGTTACTGAAATGCAGAGCCTGGAACCCACCAGCAGGTAGCATCATCGCATAAGTGATGTTTGCCGATCTGTTTAGGAAATAAGGCTATAAAGTTATTACCCCAGATACAGCACCCAGTTATTGATAAGCAAGATTAGATAGAATTGTAAGCAGGCTCCCTTTTGTAGCCTTAGCATTCAATTGTCATAAAAAAGAAACCCAAAAAGCAAACGAAATTACTTACACAGTGCCAGCATGAAAAGACAGTTACCGGAGGAAGAAATTGAAATCGGTTATTTTAAGAAACTTAATCACTAGTATATTAAGAATGCCCTTTTCATGCCAAAACATTACTTTTCTAGTCAAATACATATAACACCAAGTGCTGTTTGAAAACCAAATCCAGCAGTGCAACAGTGTTTTTTGTAAGGCTTTTTTTTCAAAATTTCTGCATCACTGGAAAAAACCCAGATCCTTCTCCTTTCTCTCATTCATTTCTGACATGCCATTGCTCCCTTAAAGATCCAAAGGTATACTCCCTAGGAGAGACAAGACCATAATCCGCTGTAATCAAAACGATTTCTCCAGAAAGTTATTTTATATGGATTAAACAAAATGAGTGTCAACTTCTGCATATAAGACTCTACTATCTACACATGCAATGTTGAAAGACTAAACAAATTAAAAATGTCAAACATTTCTCTTCACAGAAATATGACACGTGGCTAACAGCATGAGTAGAAAATAAATTCTGTGTAAGACTTGCATGATCTATAAAAGTCTTTACTGAATATTTACATAAGGTCTTAATTTTAAATATTAAATTTTCATTAAAGATGTAAGTTTCATTGAGAACAATGCATCTATCTGTTTTTTC